CCCCAGTTGTAGAGTCTCAGGGTGATCTCAGGTGACCTCTCCGTCCGGTTCTGGTTCGCGACCCAGGATTCCACCCAGAGGGTGACGTTGGACAGGACCGACACCCCGTCCTGGTCAGAGAACTGCAGCTGGGTGGCCGGGGCCGGCCGGGAAGAAGCAGCAGCGCCCGGGTGCAAGGCTGTGGACAGACGGACACAGCGCCATGAGTCGGGGGTCACGGTGGACCCCAGCTGACCGCACTGCAGCACCATTGGCCTCACATAGTACATGGTTCTGTCCCCTTTAGGTCACCATCGCCAGCCAGCGCTGCCCTGGACATTAATCCAGGTCTGACACGGTGGAGCCCAGAATATTCCAGAAAGGGTGGACGGGTGGATGGATGGACAGGTGCGGTGGAAGGATGGGTGGGATGGATGGGTGGATGGTGTGGTGGGTGGATGGGTGGATGGGTGGATGGGTGGATGGGTGGATGGGTGGATGGATGGGTGGATGGATGGATGGTGGATGGATGGGTGGATGGATGATGGGTGATGGATGGGTGGATGGGTGATGGATGGATGGGTGGATGGATGGATGGATGGGTGGATGGGTGGAGGTGGATGGGTGGTGGGTAGATGGATGGGTGGATGGTGGATGGGTGGATGGGGGTGGATGGGTGGATGGGTGGATGGATGGGTGGATGGTGGATGGATGGATGGGTGGATGGTGGATGGATGGATGGATGGATGGGTGGATGGATGGATGGATGGATGGGTGGATGGATGGATGGATGGGTGGAGGTGTGATGGGTGGGTGATGGGTGGATGGGTGGATGGATGGGTGGGTGGTGGTAGATGGATGGGTGGATGGGTGGATGGGTGGATGGGTGGATGGATGGATGGGTGGATGGGTGGATGGATGGTGATGGATGGATGGATGGGTGGATGGGTGGATGGGTGGGTGGATGGTGGATGGATGGGTGGATGGGTGGATGGATGGATGGGTGGATGGGTGGATTGGATGGGTGGATGGATGGATGGATGGGTCGATGGTGGATGGATGGTGGATGGATGGATGGATGGGTGGATGGTGGATGATGGGTGGATGGATGGATGGGTGGTGGATGGGTGGGTGGATGGGTGGATGGGTGGGTGGATGGGTGGATGGGTGGATGGATGGATGGATGGGTGGATGGGTGGATGGATGGGTGGATGGATGGGTGGATGGGTGGATGGGTGGATGGATGGATGGATGGGTGGATGGGTGGATGGATGGATGGATGGGTGGATGGGTGGATGGATGGATGGGTGGATGGATGGGTGGATGTGTGGATGGGTGGAAAAGTGGATGAGTGGGTGGGTGGGTGGGTTGGTTTTTGAGGAAGAGGTTGAGTACGAAGGAAGGACTCATCATCCTCACGGTCACTCAGGGACCCCATAATTTCCCACTCTCACTTCATATATGAAGATGGAGGGCTCCCACTCCCACGGACGGGAATCTTCCCTCCAAGGTCACCTGAGTGGACCCTGGTGGACTGAGTGCAAGTGCGTGTTAAATGCAGACCTTGGGGTCATTTTGGGTCCTCACCAGCATCTCAGAAAGTGGCTGACCCCGTCCTTCGGTCCCTCATATCGCCAGGAACACTCATAATGACCAGCGCTGAGGACTCGGTAGCAGCTCAGGTCCCTGGGGCCCGAGGTAATGCCTGCAAGAGACCACGGATTTTAGGGGACAAAGCAGATAGGTGACAGCCCTCACCATCCCTGTACCTTTACAGCTCCTCCCGTGAGCCTCTTTTGTGTCCCCAAGCCGCCAGGCACACCCTGCTTCAGGGCTTTTGCACAGGCCATGGCCTGTGCTGGGGCCACCCTTTCACCAGGTTGTCCTGGGGTCCTTTTCAGTACTGGGATTGAAGCCACACAGCAAGTCCTTGACACCAGCTGCACCTCCAGTCCAGTAAATAGAATGGTCTGATACCCTTCGGTGCTGGACCCTCCTTGTTGTCATTAATGACCAGGAATGTTCCAGTGACACCTGCCTGGGGCTGAGTCCACACACTGATCCGTAAGTCACGGACATAAACCCCACGACCGTGCTGGGGACAATGAAGCTACACAGGTGCCAGCATTCAGGACACCCCAAACCTCGGCAGTGGGGGAGCAGACGGGGGAAGGGACCCATCGAGGCCACTCGCCTACAGAGAGGAGCCACTGCTAACCTGAGTGTGTGTCCTGATACGGCAGGTCCTGAAAACAGCACTGGCTGCTCCCGCATGCAACTGCAGGGAAGGAAGGGACAGTGACATGTGATGTTGTGCACGGTTGGGGTCAGTGTGCCATCTGCAGGATGCGACCATCCACCGTGCACCCACCCACCCATCCACCCACCCACCCTTCCACCCATCCATCCATCTATGCACCCGTCCATCCATCCATCCACCCATCCACCCATCCATCCATCCATCCATCCATCCACCCACCCATCCACCCACCCATCCACCCATCCACCCATCCATCCATCCATCCATCCATCTACCCATCCATCCATCCACCCACCCATCCACCCACCCACCCATCCACCCATCCATCCATCTATGCACCCGTCCACCCATCCACCCATCCACCCATCCATCCATCCACCCATCCACCCATCCACCCATCCATCCATCCATCCATCCATCCACCCATCCATCCATCCATCCATCCACCCATCCATCCATCCATCCATCCATCCACCCATCCATCCATCCATCATCCATCCACCCATCCATCCATCATCCATCCACCCATCCCCACCATCCATCCATCCATCCATCCATCCACCATCCACCCATCCATCCATCTATGCACCCGTCCATCCATCCACCCATCCACCCATCCATCCATCCATCCACCCATCCACCCATCCATCCATCCACCCATCCACCCATCCACCCATCCACCCATCACCCATCCATCATCATCCATCCACCCATCCATCCACATCCACCCATCCACCCATCCACCCATCCACCCATCCACCATCCACCATCCACCATCCATCCATCCACCCATCCACCCATCCACCCACCCATCCACCCACCCATCCACCCATCCATCCACCCATCCATCCATCCATCCATCCACCCATCCACCCACCCATCCACCCACCATCCACCATCCACCCACCATCCACCATCCACCCATCCATCCATCCACCCATCCATCCATCCACCCATCCATCCATCCACCCATCCACCCATCCATCCATCCATCCACCCATCCATCCATCCATCCATCCATCCACCAATCCATCCATCCATCCATCCACCCATCCATCCACCCATCCATCCACCCATCCACCCATCCACCCACCCATCCACCCATCCACCCATCCACCCATCCATCCATCCATCCATCCACCCATCCATCCATCCACCCATCCATCCATCCACCCATCCACCCATCCACCCATCCATCCACCCATCCACCCACCCATCCACCCATCCATCCATCCATCCACCCATCCATCCATCCACCCATCCATCCATCCATCCACCCATCCATCCATCCATCCACCCATCCATCCATCCATCTACCCCATTAACTCCTGGACACTGGGCAGATATCCCCTGGTGGACACTGAGTTGCACTTTGGGGTCCCCGTGGCGACTTCCCCAGGCAGACTCAGCATTGAGACCCAGTGCTGGGAGTCAGGGATAGGTTGAGATGCCAGAAAACCCCGGCTTGGAAAGATGGTAGGGTTCGAGTGGCAGTTTTGCGGCCACTCTGTTGGCCTGGCTGTCCAGCAGTGACAACTAGGGACATTCCCCATGTTCAGTGTCCCCCTCAGCTATGGGATCCCCAGTTCTGCCAGCGTCTGTGCTCTTCCGCACGTGTTCCTAGGCCACAGGGGGCCAGGCCTGAAGCCGTTGTCCTTCCTGGGACTAGAGTGGACTGACCCCACGCTCTAAGCCGGAGAGAGACACAGGAGTGTGGACGCCCCGTCCTCTCCGTGTCCCCGTCGTTGGGACACACGCATTGCATGGTGTCACCATGTCTGTCAGGTCATCCATGACCCAGATTCAACCCCAGAAACCCTCATCACCCATGTGACATTTTGCAGACAGAAAGGCTAAGGGACAGACAGGTGGCTGTGACCCTGGACCCCAGTCTGCACCCCACATTCCACGTTAGGGGGGGGACTCACCACTCAGCCAGGACAGCAGAAGGAGGACACACAGCCTGGTCATCAGCCACCTCATCACCGGGTCCACGTGGAGCCCTCAGCCCCATTGACATAGGACACGGTCACCTTGTCCCCTCCCCGGAACACGTTGTAGCTGAGTATGAAAAAAAAAAGACAAAGGAAAAAAAAAAGTGTCACATCCCCTCCTAGGACAAGTCAAAGTGAAAAAGAAACCCAGGAAGTCAGCTCGGGGGTGGTGGCCTCGGAGGCTGGGTACCTCTGGTTTTGGGTCAGGACTGGAACTGGACCTCAGTGACCTCAGCAACCTATGAGACCCCGGAGGTGACCAGGAGCTGGTGTCCGGGAAGGTCACATATTCACTCGTCCAACCACGTGTCCCCAAGTTCAGGGTGACCCCCTGTGTCCCCCAACCTCGAGCCCCTAAAGGTCATTTTCTTAAGTTTCAAAGCCGAAGCGGGGTTGTCAGCTCCAGGCCAGCTGAGGCCACTGAGCGACCCATCAGGAAAACCCTAAGTGACATCAAAGGTGAATTTTATCTCAGGGATTTCCCCTAAAGGCACCATGGAGGGGACAGGGTGGGGGGCTTGTGTTGTGGACTTCGGGGGAAACTGAGGCCAGGGTGGTGGCTCCTCCCCCCTCAGGGGCAGCTGGGCTGGCCGGGGTCAGGCGTCCCAAGACTGTGAGGTCAGCGTCTCGAGGACAAAGAGGCAGTGTCCCCGGCCTGGCACAGTGGGGACCGGACCCCGTGACCCCACACAGAGTGGCCTTCTGTGGCCATGGGGCCCAGGCCAGGGGCTCCCCACCTTCAGAGTGGACTGTTTGAGGGGAGACATCACCCCCACAGTCAGCCACCGTGATTGTCACCAGCAGGGCCACCATCTGTGCCCAGGGTCACTGCCTGGGAGTGAGGAAGGAAGGGAGGGCTGGGGGGAAAGACAGGTGGACATTGGTGGAGAAGTGGACACTCCAGCTGGGCAGAGAATGAAGTGGGATTATTTGTAGGGCGTCTCCCCCCCACCAAGCCCCCTAGCTCAGTACTGGGGACACCAGGTGGTCCTGGCGCTGTGTTAGGGGCCGTGCAGCCGGCCACATGGACAGGGCTTTGAGCCCCAGGCCTTACGAGGGGAGGCCCGGCTCCAAGGGCACTGGGGCGCCATGGTGGGTGTGTGAGTGGGACGGTGGGGAGGACCCAGGTTCACGTGAGGCACCCCAAGACTCACCACAGGCTGATTGCTGGGTGTCACATCTGGGCGCCCCCCGGGCCCCTCAAAGTGTGATCATCACCCAGGCCTGCCCCACGTTCTGATGGCTGTGGGCTGGGTGGAGGGGAAGCAGGAAGGAACAAGTCACAGGGGCCGGAAACCGTGACAGAAGAAACCACAGAATGTCCTCGCCACCCGCCCCCCCACACCCCGAGCTTCTGCGAGAGGCTGAGCTTCCCTTCCTGTGCCCCAGATTCTAAAATGCTCCTGAGGGGCGTCCAAGGAGGGCATTGAAGGATGAGGAGGAGTTCGGTTTATTCACTTCATGAATACACTTAGAGGCATGTGTCGCCAAAGAACATTTTTAAACATGTAACCGCGACTCCGACGTCTCCACGAGGGTCATTTCAGGATAACTTTGCTGCTTCATGGACTGGATTTTTTTGGGGGGGTGGGATTGGGTTCTCCAGGCAGCTGCAAGGTGTCTATCCCTTGAGACACCGCCAGCCCTTCTGCTTTAGTTATTTCCCTGGGGCCGGTCTTCATCCTTGATCCTTCGACCTACAGACTCTCAGGTGGCTGGGATTACAGGCGGGTCCCCCCATGCCTGGTCCCGGACTGGATTTTCAATGTCCCCCAAGAATGCAGGCTGTGCTCCTGTTGGGAGGTGATTGACTTATAGGAGACAGGGTCACTGGTGGTGGCCCTTAAGGGTGACATGTCTCCTTCCTGTCACTTTGCTTCTACCACTGGCTTCTACCAGGACGTCCTGTGCCCAAAGCACTCGGGGCAAAGCCAGCATGGACTGAAACCTCTGAAACTGTGAACCCATGGCCACCTGTGGTTCAGGGAACCGGTTTTCCCCCAGGACTCCAACCAAAGTCCCAAGGAAGGCTCTGATTGGCTGCGGGCTGGGGTCACGTGGCCAGTGTGAGCCAATCACAGTGGGTGGGATGCATAAAAGCCAGGCGCCGCCCGGGAGCAGCGGGGAGACCAGCCAGAGGGAGAAAGTGGGAGTGACCTCGGGACTTTGGGTTGCTCCCTGCCTCGCTTTCCCCATCTGCAAAGTGGGTGCAAGAATCATCTTCAGACACCTGTGAGAGAGGTGGAGGCCATGACGCAGGGGTAGGGTCAGCATTCAGCAAAGACAACCGTCCTGAAGACAGAACCTGGCAACCTGAGTGGCCCCTGTCTTTGTAAATAAAGTTTTATTGGCACCAGGGCCACGATTAGGGTGAGGCAGGTGAGGCTGGGGTCTGACCCTGCCTTTAACTTTTCCATCCTAGCACTGAGGAGCTGAAGTCAGAGGAATGGAGGGTCTGACGCCACCCTTGTCTCCACTGTGAGATCCTCTCTACAAAAAAAGAAACAAAAAAATCAGTGTTTTGCTTATCACGATTATCTTCATTAATGCTGATTTTTTTTTTTAAATTATGCTAAAAGATCGCAAGGGTTCAGTGGTCACGCCTGTAAGCCCAGCACTTGGGAGGCTAAGGCAGGCGTATCGTGAGTCCTGGATTGCATATTGAAACCCCGTCTCAAATACAATTAAGCAAGAATCATTTGTGTTCTGTTGATGGCTGAGCTCCTTGAATTTTGCAGAGGTGAGCGCCTCGCTGGCCAGTCATGCTGTGTGCCGGGGGAGGTGGATTGACCTCTCTGACCCTCCACTCCCTAACTGCGAATGGGACTCAATTACACTCCCTGACCGCACAAAATATTTCCCTCCGCTCTGAGTGGACGCGCTGCGTTCTGGGGGCGGGGTCTTCCTGCCCCAGCCAGGCTCTTTTGATAGGGGGCGTGGCTTCTACGTCATCCGAACGTCCTAGCCAATAGCGTGCGGGGGCGGGGCCCGGAGACTGGGGCGGGGCCGAGGGCGGGGCCAGCGGCTGGGACTCGCTGGCCATGGACGAGCCGAGCCTCTTGCGGCGCCGCGGGCTCCAGGTGAGGCCTTGGCGCGCACGGGCGGGGGGTGGCGCGGCCCGGTGCACAGGGTCGCAGGGGTGGGGGTGGGGTCCCCGCAGGGAAACTGAGGCAGAGGGCCGGCTGTGCTCAGGTCCCCTGCTTCTCACCTATGTGAAAGGGAGTGTGCCCTGCCAGTTTGACATATGGGGAAACTGAGGCTGGGAGCGATCGCCTTGGGGTGGGGGTGTGGGGACGGGGAGAGGAAGGGGCCGGGGTTTCCCCTCCTCACCTGGTCCTCTAATGATACCACCACAGTAGGCTGCAAGCTGAGCTCGCCATCTGTGCAGAGCGGTGCAAATCTTGCAGCTGTGACAGGTTGACCAGGTCGCAAGTGACACCCGAAGTGTCACTGCTCAGGTCACTTCTGCAGCGACCTGCCAAGGTCTGGGCAGGGCAGGCGTCCAGGTGTCAGATAGGGAAACTGAGCCTGGGGAAGTGATGCAGCTCAGCGGAGAGAGTCAGCCCCTCGGGGCACAAGGTGTGTGACCTGGGGAAAGGGAAGGAAGTCACTCCCAGCCTCAGTTTACCCCTGTGTGACCTCTGCAGAATGGGCGTTGAGTACTGGCCTGGGTCTCTCCGCTTACACCACACCCTGAGGAAGCCACCAGGTTGGAGGGTGGGGACCTGGCGTGCACGGGTTACCCAACATCTATTGAGCGCTTACTGTGTGCAGGGCTCTGCAGGGGAAGTGGGGTGCTCCAGCCTCTTGGGGGTGTCCGTCCTCTGGGGTCTCCCAATCGGCTGGGGAGGAGACATGGCGGGTGTGGCCTGACCCTGGCCTTGTGGGTTGACCTTGGGACACAGGAGGCAGCTGCGGGTGACAAGGCGGGGGAAGGAGTGGTGTTTGGGGAAATGAAACAGCCAGCCGGAACCCGGATAGAGAAGATGGAGCCAGTGGGGGGCTGAGGGGCTGGCTGGGGAGGAGGAGGGGGGACACTGGAGGGTCCCCAACTCCAGCTGCAGGGCCAGGACGGTGGTCTTGGGGAAGGGTCCTGGGCAGCCACGTGGGGGTGGACAGGGACAGTGACCCCCCCCTCCCAGGGCCAGGCTGGGAGAGATGGATAGTGGGAACCATAGGCAAGGGTGGGGGGTCCTGGTGGGTGAGCAAGGGGGGTGCAGCAGGCCTGGCGAGGACTGGGGTGTTGTTGGGTGGCTGTGGTGGGGGGACAGGCCTGCCTGGAGCCCCAGTTAGATGCGAGCCCCGCCTCGGCCTCTTAAAATAGACAAACCGCCCCCGGGGAGGCGAATGGGGGCGCTGCTGACGTCAGGAAGTGGGCCCTGTTCCATGGAGGGGACAGATATTCCCAGATGAAAAAGTCCTGCGGTGTGAAAGGGGAAACTGAGGCTCTGAGAATCACAGACCCGTCCCAAATCTCACATGGTGGGTGACTGTCAGGATTAGAGTCCACCCCGGCTCTGGCATGCATCCTGGGAGGTGTAGGGTGGGTGCAAAGGCCGGGGGGCACGCAGCTATCCTGTGGTGAGGGAAACAAAGTCTTTCTTAGTGGAAACAAAGTTTCTTAGCGATTGAGCAAGAGTGAGAGGGAGTGATTGGCTGGTGCCATTTTGAAGAGTTTACACTTCTCCCTAGGGCAGTGGGGAGCCATGGAAGGTGCTGGAGCAGGGGAGGTCATTCCCATATCTGGGGCCTGGAAAGACAGCTCTGGAGCCCAGTCTGGAGCCTTGATGTGTACAAAGGCCTAGGGCCTCGGAGTTTTCTTTTCTTCTTTTTGTCAGTACCGGGATTTGAACTCAGGGCCTCACGCTTGCTACGCTGGCGCTCTACAGCCTGAGCCACCCCGTCAGCCCAGAGCCTCCGTTTTTGAGCATTAAATGACGCAAGGTCTCCAGTTCTGAAGGGCTGGGGGAGGGCTCCAGCCAATCAGCGGCCAGGCTGCCTCTGCCAGCCAATCAGATTTCCTGGAGGCTGCCTGTTGCTGGAGGTCAAAGAGTCAATTCATAAAAGCTGGAGAATTAGCAGGGGCCTCAAGTCAGGCGCTGATTGGCCAGTCAAACAATAGCCGTGGGCATCCTGTCCAATCAGATTGTGGCGGGGTCACGTGCTGCACCAGTTCTCCCTCGAACCACCAGTTTGCATTAGCTTAGGGTTGGGGACAGGTCTTCCTCAGGGTGGGTCAAGCGTTTCCTACTAAGACCATCATTGTCACCAGAGAGGGTGACCTGAGATTGCGTGGGGGCTGGGGAGGCTCCCTGAAAGGTTGTCATTTGCTGCCACTCTGTGTCCTGGTGGCTCACCCAGTCCCACATGTTCACCTCCTCCTCCAGGAAGCCCTCCGTGCAGCAGTGTGGTCCGCTCTATCCTGGTCTGTGGTCCCCTCGTGTCGGTCCCTCTCCCTTCAGTATAGAGTGACCCAGGCCCTGCTCTGTCTCCTCCAACCTGGGGGATCAGGGCAGGACAGAGGTCCCTAAATGTTCCCTTAAAGGGCAGATCCAGCCAGGTGTGTAGACTTGCAAGTTCAAGGCCAGCCTGGGCTGCATAGGGAGCCCCTGTCTCAAAAAGCCAAAAAAAACAAATAAAAAGAGGCAGTGGCAAGGGGGTCACATTTGTCTGGTGGGAGTCACTCCGTGGGAACAGCCGGTGACAGCAGGATGGGGGCGGAAGCAGATGGTGACAGGGAGCTCTGTGTGCGTGGGTCCACTTCCTGCAAGGCTGTGGACTTCTGTCGCCTCTGTCCCTGTGCATTTTGGAAGCTGGTGGCTGTCACCACTACCTTAGCAAAAAGGTGAGGTCTCTCCTCCCAGACCCCAGGTCGTCTGCACCCGGGGCCATTTCCAAATGAGGCACAGAGAGGTTAAGTTGCTGTGCGGGGGTCACACAGCGCAGGTGTAGGGAACCCACCAATGGCCAGGGTGGGGGAGCAGGCAGTTCGAGGGGCCCCCAGATTCAAATCCATCTCTGTCACTGAGTCACATAGGATCCCCCCCAGCGATGGGAGGGTGCACAAGGGACACCCCAATAGTTCCTGATCTATGGCCGCTGGCTCTGGACAGTAGTGAGGTCCCTGTCCTGTGCAAGACAGGGAGGCCTGCGAGGTGGTCACTCCTGGCTTGGCCTAAAAGGCAAAGGTTTTTTGGGGGATCAAGGGTGGCTGGGGACCCCTACCCCACCCGCTGTCCTCACCCCCACCGCCCCCTCCCCCTCCCCACCACGCGGTCCAGCGCCTGGCTGTTTCCGGCCGCCTCCAATTGGCTGCGGGGGCCGCTGACGTCATCGGTTGCCATGGCGAACACCCCGCATGAGGACGTGGGCAGCCTGGAGGCCCACCGGCAGTAAAAATAAGCCTTGTGTCCCCAAAGCTGTCGCCCCCAATGTGTGTGCTTGGGGGTCCCGAGATCCACTTTTCCAGGTCTTCTGCTGAGCTTCCCCACACCACCAACTCATCATCCCCATCTTGGCCTCAGTTTCCCAGTTTGTGTAAGAACCCCATGCCTGGTAGACAGTGGGCACTCAACTATGGGGTTCCCCACACTCAGCCCCAGCACACGCCCACTTAGGCCCTTGCGGAGCTCAGCAATCCTATAGCCGGCTTGGTTGGTCATGATGACGTTCCATCCTCCTGAGAGCATCTGTGGTCCAACGGGGAAACTGAGGCACGGAGTCGCAGACCCCTTCCGCATGGGCAGGAAGGGACATTAGATGATAAAGGGGACGCAGGGCTGAGTGACCCCAGATTTTAAACTTTCAGAATGTTATTTAAGAAAAAATTCCCAGTGGGGCCAGGCCAGGGTCAGGGTGGACTCTGGGGGGGGGGGTCACAGTGGTCGCAGCCGGTGCAAAGGCCCTGGGGCCGGGCACGAGCGGACATTGGTGGAGCAGCGGGCACAAAGGGCTAACTTTGGGGTGTCTAGGGTCGAGACTTCCCGTCTTCCAGAGGCTGAGCCCCACTTTTTTCTTTTCTGTTTTTTTTTTTTTTTTGTCATTCAGAAGGAGTTGAGTTGCCACGGCGGGACGAGGGTGAGTTGACCTGGGGCTGGTGGCCGGGGTGGACGGAATGTCAATTTATTGATAATTAGCTGAGCCCTAAAAGAGAGAAAAGGACTGGCCCAGGGGTGTATGCAGGGACAGCGGGGACCCGGCATGCCAGGACAGGAGGGGGTCAGAGTGGACCCCAAGCCCAGGCCGTCTGGTCCTGTCGCTGTGGAATGGCCTCAGCTGAGTGCTGGACACCCAGGGACCAGAGGCCAGGCCGGGTGTCCCCTGGCCGTGCTGGAAGCTGGGGGCAGGAGGTGGACAGGGGATCCACGGGGAGGACAAGTCCACTGTGGGCGGTGCCTGAGCGTGACCAGCGCCGCCACCTGTCCTGCACCTGGCTTGGCTCCATCCTGGACAGCGACAGCCCGCAGTGTGCAGGGTCCCTGACTAGTGGCTATGACGGTGACCATGACCGGGGTGGACCCTCGAAGTGGACACAGGAGGCGCCGCCCCAGATGTGCAGTGGGGGTGGGTTAGGTATTTTCAGAAGGACAGTGACCACGACAGTGACCATGGCGGTGGGTCTCTGCACTCCCGGCTCTCCTGGCCCAGTCCGCGTCCACATGGCGGCTGCGCAGGTGCGGGTCCCGCCCCGGGGCGGAGCCTCCGTCCTTCGGTCTGTCCGCCCCGCGCCTGTCCGCCCTCCACCCTGGCCTCCTCGCCATGAAATCCCGCCGGGACCGGCTGCGCATCCCCGCGCTGACCCTCGAGTGAGTGTCCGCCACCTCCGGGGAGCCCGCCCGGCTTGCGCCCCCCTCGGGGCCGCCGGTCACCCCGCCTTCTTTGCAGCCTGTCCCCTGGTGGCCAGTGTCCGGCCTTGCGGAGCCCCGGCAGCCCCCGCAGTCCCTGCAGCCCGGGCAGCCCCAGCCTGGGTCTGCGCCCTTGGAGGTAAGTAACTGACTGACTGACTGACCGCATCGCCCCTCTGGCCTCAGTTTACCCCTCCTGGATATATGGCTGCGTGTCCATGGGAAGTCGCCCCCCTCCCCGGCCCCGCGGGAAAATTCCATTCCAGGCCCAGCTTGTGACAGGTGGACAGGCAAGGCCACCACTCGACCCATTGGACTCCCCCACACAGGTGTCGCGTTCCCAGGCTGCCAGGTCCCTGCTCCCCCCACCCCGGTTTCCCAGAAAGGAAACTGAGGCTCACAGGACATGCCTGTTCTCATTTGGTGTGGCCCAGGGCCGTTTTCGGGTCCGTGGGACCCTCTGTGACAGGGCAGGTCCCGGAGTCCCAACCCTGTTACTGTTGACTCTCAGGGTTTGTTTGGCAATCATTTACACTGTAGTAATGAAACAACTGCTCACGGCTACCCAGAGAGGCCTTCTTTTAATGGATGCCGACAAACAGGTGTGTCGGGCGAGGTACACTGGTGACAAAGTGTGGACTCAGCTGGGGAGAGGGACACCCGGCCTGGCGAGTGCACGTGCCAAGGTCCTGCGGCAGGAAGGAGATTGTGGCTGGCCGGGGTCGGACTGGGAGAGAGGCCATGGCACGTGGTCCCAGCTGGAGAGAGGACAGGAGGACAGGGAGGGACCGTTGTGTTGGGGAGGGGGTTGCTGAGCAAATAGGGTTTGGGGTGCCAGTGGCGGTCACCACACTCACCACCAGGGGGCAGCAGAGTCACATTGCCACCGCACAGGGGAGGATCTGGGTCCCCAGGAGCCTGACCAGTGTGGACTTCTCCCGGGATCCGTATGGCAGTCATTTACACTGTAGTCTGAGTGGTCAGCTCATTTGTCCTCCTGCCTCCCCCCCACACCGGTCAGGCCCTGTCCCCTCGGTCCTTTCTTTCTGGCCAGATCTGCCTCCCGGAACGGGGACACTTTTTCTGACAGCCCTTTCCTTCAGGCTCGTTACAGTCCTTTTTAACTTTATTTTACTTTTGTGGCAGGGCTGGACCCCTGAGTTGGGTTTCCAGCCCCTTTTTACTTGAGGTCATTTTTCACACGGGCAGGGGCGGGGTCTGGGGGGAGCTCATGCTTTTTGCCTTGGGCCTAGTTCAGACCTCATTCCTCCGACCTATGCGTCCCTGTACTTGGGATTACAGGCGTGCTCAACCATGCCCAGCTTGCTGTTTGAGATGGGTCTTCTTTGCCCTGGCTGGATAAGCGCCTCAATCCCTCCTGACTGACGGCTCTGAGCGGCATCGGCCTCACAGGCTTGGACACTGTGTCCAGTTGATATCTATCTAGGTCTCTGGTTTTTTGTCCAGAGCTTCGGCAGCCCCAGGAGACCAGGCCTCAATCTGCTCTGGTCATGCTGCACCTGGGGGTCACGGCCTGGTCCGGAGATCCCAAGTCGCATTTCAACTTTTCTTCTAGGGCAACCTCCATCTTCCTAACTGTCCCTGCTGTCCATAACGACAGATCACGCTCCCTCCCTGCTCACCATGCATCACATGCCTCTTGCTCTTCCTGTGACTCCATGTGTCCTTGCTGCCAGGACAGGGGCAAACAGCTGGCTTGATAATGCTTGCTCGAGTGATATGAGCGACTGCTTATACGGGCTGTCTTGAGCTCCGGGTCTGGGGAAC